CCGCCCTCGGCGTCGGGCGGCGGCTCGCTGCTCGATCTGCTGTCGGGCGGCGGGCCTGCGACTGCACCTGCGGCCACGGCTTTGCCCGCGGCCTCGCCTGCGGCTGCGGCGAACAGCGGCGATGGCAGCTTTGCGCCTGTCGAGGTGTACAACAAGAACAACGTCAAGATCACGTACGCCTTTGCCAAGCAGCCTGGCCGGCCTGAGGTGACTGCTATCAACGCCACGTTTACCAACGGCAACGCCTTTGAGCTCCGCGATCTCTCGTACCGTATCGCCGTCCCGACGTACATCCAGCTCAAGCTCGGCCCGGCGTCATCGACGGTGGTGCCTGCGGCCAACGGCGGGGCCGTGACGCAGGTTATCCACCTGCTCAACTCAAAGCACGGCGCCGCGCCGGTCCTTCTCAAGTACCAGCTGGCGTTTAACGCCAACGGCACGCCGTACACCGAGCAGGGCGACGTCGCCGGCTTGCCTGCCGGCCTGTAAAGACAAGCGAGAGCAGTTCGCCAAAGTCAGCGGCGGCGGACGCGGATCGAGGAGGAGCGCGGCGAGGAGCGCGGCGAGGCGGTGCGTCGCGAGCTTGAGCGCGAGGGCGAGGAGCTCGTCGCGAGGCCGGCCGAAGGCGAGGCGGCGGCGGTGGCGGCGCCAATGACACGGGCGTAGTCGCGTGAGACCCGCCAGTACTCGTCGTCGATCTGGATGAGGATGCCGGCCGAGGTGAGGAAGGAGATAGTGTCGAGAATGGTGGCGTCCTGCTCGATGGCGGCCGGGAGCTGCGAGATCTGGTGCGAGATGGAGAGGAAGGAGACGCCGGTGGTTGGGCCCTGGCAGGCGAGGATGATGCGGACGACAGCGGCTTGGAAGTCTGAGAGGGCCGGGAAGCGCCACGGCGCCAAGCCGTGGCTTCTCACGAGCGATTCCATCTCGCTCGAGTCTGAATCATCCGAGTCGGAGATGATCTGCCGGTTGGCCGGCTCGATGAGGGTGTCGTGTGGCGCGGCGCCGCCAAAGAGGCCGTCGTAGTTGAAGCCAAGCGGAAGGGTGTCGCGCGCGGCCGGCTGCGGTGGCTGCGCTGGCGACCATAAGAGGTGGGAGAGCGAGCTCGTCGACTCGCCGCGGCGGTAGCGGGCGTAGTCGGAGAGCGATGGCGGGGTAGTGCGGCGGTGGCTGCCGGCGCGCGGCGGCGAGCGCGACGTGGTTGCCGGGCGCGGCGGGGCGGCAGCAAGGCGGGCCTCGAGCTTCTCGATGCGAGCGGCGGCGGCAGCGTTCTCCTTGGCCAGCTCGTCGACGATGGAGACGACACCTAGGAGGTGGTCGGCGGCGGATGAGGCAACGTGGTCGTCGAGCGCCGCCGTCTCGCGGCGCGGGAACGAGACTTGACAGCCAAAGCGGGCATACGGGCAGGGGACGAGCTTCTCGGGGCACTCGTGGCTCTCGTGCAGCGGAAGATCGGCGCGTACACCGTGCCAGCCACACTTGCAGCTCTCAGGCGCCTGCGGGCAGGTGGAGGCGGCGTGGTCATCAAGCTCGGCGGCGAGGACAGAGTCGTCGCCGCACACGGCACAGACGACGAGGCGCATGGGGCAGGCAGCGGCATGGGACTCGATGGCGGAGCGGAGAACGGATGCGCCACACTGGCCGCAAGCCGTGTTGGCCAGCATGCATGCCGTCCGGAGATGCTCGGGCAGAGCCTGGAACTCGCCAAGCCAGTCACAGCCGGCAGCAGCGTTGGAGCACTTGCAGTCGTGCTCGTCGATGATGGCGCGGAGGTTGCGGTCGGGCATGACGGCGCCGAGCGAAAAGGTGGAGCGATCCAGCGGACAGAGCGGCGGGTCGGCCAGCTCGCACAGCTGGTAGGTGCAGACTCTGCAGAAGACGTGTCCGCAAGGCAGCCGCTGCGGATCATCGAGGATGCCCGCGCAGACGATGCACCAGAGGGGCGAGCCCTGCGTGAGGGGAGGGGAGGGGGAGGGGTTAGTGGATGTGGTGGTGGTGGTGATGGTGGTGATGGTGGTGATGGTTGGTGGTGGTGATGGTGGTGATAGTGGTGATGGGGGTGGTGGTGGTGGTGGTGGTGATGGTGGTGGTGGTGATGGTGGTGATGGGGGTGACCATGATGATGACCATGATGATGATGATGATGATGATGATGATGATGATGA